AGCACAGGCACGACAACTGCTATGTTGTATGTGATCACATGGCCCCTACATCCTCTGGCTTGGGCACTGTCCCCATTTGCATCCTAACAAAAATTTCTGTCTCCAGAGCGCTGAATGCACTAATATCTATAAAGGTTTTGTGTGTCTCCTTTTCTGGTCCTGTAACAGGTTATGCTGCACTTTCCTGATGCTGTCAGTGAAGGTTGTTTGTGCATGCTTGCATAACAAGGAAATATTTCTGCTACTTGTCTCATATTTTTCATCTTTTTGCCATCCTTTTCTTCAGACATTTGAATGCAGCCCATGGAGAATAGCAATATTAGAAAACTAGCATTTAATCACTGCCAAGCAAAATGTCAACAGAAGGTATATGCACCACTTACGTCCAATGGTACGCTGCCTGCTCAGCATCCGGCTGGCATTATTTGGGATGCTGCCACAGAGAGCAATGGGAGTTCAGCCTGCTTCTTGGTTTGCCTTCCTTTTTAGTCACTGGGATGACTGCTGTTCCTGAGTCCCTGGGTGTCCCATGTTCTCTGAAGAAGGGAAAGTCTGCCATTAGAAACTCAGTAGGACCATTTTCCCAAAGGGGGATGGGTGCTGGGAATGTAAATAAAACACCCAAATGATGCAAGTGAAGGAGAGTTCATCTGAGTTAACCACTGACACTGAAGCAGTTTTACTGTCTCTGACTATTATAATCCCATCAGTCAACAAACCTACACCATCTGAATGTGCTGCATCATTTGGATTGCTATTCTGCCTGTTTTCTTTTCACTGCTAAATCTCCACAATTTTGCCCCAAGCACAAACAGCAAGTGGAGAGGGAGAAAAGAAGGATACATTGGAAAAGCACAGGGAGAGGCCAGGGGCCGGGGGACCGTCATTCAGAAAGCATGTTCTTTCCATCGGACTGACACGTTCACTGGTGTAAGTGGAACCATCTGTGCCACAGATCTGCTCCGGCGCTTGGCTGGGGGAACCCCAAACTGCAGCTAAGCTCTAAAGGGAACAGAGAAAAAATAGTTTAAAGCAATAAATTTCCAAACATTCCTCATTCTTCAGGGGGCTTGAATGAAATTAAGGCTTTACTTCCATGAATGAAAAATAGGCAGGAAGCAATACACTATGCGAACGCTCTTTGTTTGCAAATTCACAGTATGTTTAAGCTTACGGGGCTGCACCTCAGCTGGTGAAAATCTGGAAAACACTCCTAGGCTGAGTGAATGCCTGCCAGCTGGAGACAGGCTCCCTTCCCCTACTGCTTTCTGCTTTTTTCATATCTACTCATTGATCAGCGGAGAGCACACAACCAGAGCCCAAAGCATAGCAAAGAATCAAATAAAATTGTATCAAACATTAAATTACAACAAGAAAATGAGCGTTTCTGAGTGTGAACATATTGCCGGATGAAACAGGTGGATACCAGGATTATATTTCTTTAAGGATAGAGGTCCGAGGAAATGTTTTCGGTTCCCAAGGTATTTTCTTTTAACTAACAGACCTGTGTGACTGATACAATGAGAGTTTGTATAATTATTTCTGGATTTCTTTTGTTTTTGAGGAACACACAGTTATAAAGGTGGTAAAAAAATATTTAAATATTCTTTCAAAAAGAGAAGAGTTTTAAAAATCAGCGGGATGAGCCTTGCCACTCTCAAGCATCCCTCAGAAGAGGGTCAGAGTATCTAGGCCCATCCACATGTCTCTCTAGTAAATACAGCATATTAAAAAAAGCTAAAACAAGGCAAACTATCAGCAGAGATAATTTTGAAAGGTGTAGATATTTTAGCAAATTCTTGAATGAAGTTTAGGTACAAGCACCATCAAGGAAAAGCTGTGGGATTTTTTTTTTCCAAGTCACAGATGGGTGAGTGCTGATAAACTGTGGGAAAAAAAATATTTCGCCTCAATATGAAAAGACTAAGTGTTGTTTTCTAAGTCCCACTTATCAATCAAGTATTAAATGATTCACCTCATTCTTCCTCCTCTTTGTGTTGTAAGAAAAATGGCTGTAGACTCAGAAAACACTGATAAGGCTATAAAGATAAGTTAGACAAACAAGGAAGGAGAGAGTACATCTATATTTTTTTAATACTGCCACTGTGATATGTACTGGTGCATTTACAAGTCGTGAAACCTGAGGCTGGACCATCATCAGTGTGAAACACGTCGAAGTTTGTCAGCCCTTGATTGGCCTCAGGAGCTCGGTCCCTGCTTCCAGAGCCCGAGGGCTGCAGTAGCGGACGCAAGGCAGTGTGCGGAGCTGCACCAGCTGCGCTTCGGCAGTGAGTTTTAGATGCCTGATGTTCCAGTCATAGCAGGCACTGGAAAGTCAGTTTTTTCTTCCCTGCTTCCTTGACTGATGGTGTAAGGCTGCACTTGCAACTATTTCTATTCATGGCAAGAGTGCAAAAATAGGAGTCCGCTGAAGCAGGACTAAATCCATGCTTACGTCTGATCCTTTTAGTGCTTCTTTCCAAGTTAAAAAACAGGCTTTGCTAGCATGACAGTTGAATGGTTTTTGAGAGTAACCCAACCATTTTGAAGCTGCTCAGGCTTTTGCCCAAGGTGAGTTGGAGTTAGCCTCGGGGCTCTGCAGCATGATGGACCTGAGAAGCGATGGAGCAGCAGGCTGAGCAGCACCCAAGTGCCTGTCAGTCTCACGCTGGAGAGAGTTATTGAATAGATATGCAGCGTGGCAAATGCTGAGCTCATGAGATGATCTCTGTGTTCCCCAGCACAGTAATCTCTACCTGTCTAGTCATTCCTCCCTCTACAGCCATGCAGGCACCCAGCTCAGTCAACCATACCTTAAAACTACCTTCCAAGTCTCTTAGCGACACTTCAGACTGGAATTGTTCTACCTCTCTCCTAAGCCACAAAATTTCAATGCTTCCTCTTGAACGCGCTCATCTTTGCCTGGCCATTGCTTCCTCACCAACACAAAGCAGAAAGAAATCATCTAATTAACACATGCTCAGTAAGTAACCCTGGAAGAGCTGAAAAACAACTCGGAGGCACAGAAAGCAGCTCTGTCCCTAAGAAGAAGGCTGCCCAACTTTTATAGAGTTATTGTACTTCATAAAACCACCCCTGAGCCTAGGGGATATTTAAGCACCAATGCCAGGCTTTTCCCATTTTATGTCCCAGTTTTAGTGACTTATTCCATGATGTACTTTTACTTGAAACCTACTGGCACATACTGCATGGAAACCTCTGTCTAATGACCACTTTGGCTTCTTCCCTGGATTGGTCTGACTTAATCTCAACTTTGTGCCTCCTTGACTTCATCTTTGCCTTTGGTGTCAGCAGACATTGAGCTCCACAGAGGAGGTTTTGGCACAGCAGTGCCCAGCCAAAGCTGTTCAGTTGGATCTTGACAGCTTTACTGCAAAGGGTTGCAAAAGCCAGCAGACAGAGCTAAGTCCAAGTGCAAGTCTGCCAAAGTCCACAAAAAAAAAAAAAAAAATTAAGGTCTTATCCCTGAGGATAACCTAGTAACACAAACAAGACCAAAGCAGCATGTTCTGCAAATGCACCTTAACAGAAAATGGCAAAAAGGTTATACAAACCAAAGGAACATTTACATTAGGACACAGACCCAAGAAAAGTACAATAAGCCATTGTTAGTTACAAATCGTCTTGAAAAGTACATGCCAGCCACGGACACCAATGGCACAGAGGTACTACAGCCTCATTCCCTGGTACAATACCCACAGTATCTCCAAGTCAGGAACATTTGCCTTCAGCCTATTCTTCTAGCCCAACAATTCAAAGAGTGGCTTTCCAAACAATCCAAATAATTGTGTTCTTCTCTGGTAAACTACAATGGGACGTTGAATCAGGGAGGCACTAGCTGTAGTCCAGTAGAAATTCTTTAACCCTGAAATATTTGACTTGCAATAGCTTTGGTGACCTGGTGTGGAGCTAGTGGTAGCGGCTGTACCTGTGCTGCCAACAGACGAAGGGCAGCCCCTAGGTCTCCCTGCCATCCATACAGACACCAAAGTGGCAGCAATTGTATCACCAGGTCCTGGCCTCAAAAAATTGTGCAAAATGTGATTACCAGGCAGAACTGCTTTCCTATGACCTGTTATATATTCGGTTAAAACTGGTCCTAAGTGAACCTCTGCATCCTTTTCCTTCCAGAATGGTTTTAGAAGGCATGCAGCTGCAGTGACATACCAGGGCTGTCCCCCACCCCAGGGGTGACACTTTTTCCCACCAGTCCTGGAGATATTCTATTGCATCAATAAATGAAGGTATTTTGTGAGTGGACACTTCTGCTATGACCCTGAAGCGAGCTCGACATTCCCCTCCTGTACATTATATCCTACTACTGCACTTGACACTGAGGGCGAGTTCAGTGGAGACAGGCTGGGATCACCTTTCCTGACAGCAGCTACTGCCTCTTCCATGAGACAGGCTGCACAGGCAGTGGGAACCAGGACAGGGGCACCTCTTGGCTAGGCAGCCAGCTTCCTTTTCTAGCCCACAGCCACAAAGTGCTCTTTTTGAGAACAAACCATCCACATCTAGACATTGCCCTGTGGGGCAGGTGGACCATGCCCTTGAGGTGAATGTCTCCGTGCACTGACTATAACAATGGAGCCTGTGATCAGGTCATACAGAGATATTATGAGATGAGACTAATACTAACAAGGAGACTCTGAGGAGTAAGGAAGTACCTGGGAGCTCCAAGGGAAGGACAAGCCCTCATCAGAGCAGGGATGGCACTGACAGGAAAAGATCTACACACGTTGTTTGGTAGAGCAGCACATCAATAGAAAAACACATATGCACCACTAGAAGTACTGGGTCAGGGAGGAGATGGGGCAAGAGGGATGAGACATGGCACTAAGACAGAGAAACATTGCCAAGTGAGTTTATTGAACAAGTGTTTCGGGAGCTAAGGACATGGGACAACCTGAAGGAAAGTTGATGGGGAAGTCACATGCAAGGGAGTTTGTCTTCCTGGGCTGGACTCCAGCATGGACTTAGCATTCAGTCATACTGATGAGGTTGAGAGTCCTGTTGCTTTCCCTGGTGAGAAAAGGAGAGAGAAGGATTAGGCACAGAGCATCTTCAGAGCTGAAGCTCTGTTCCTCACTTCACTGGGACAAGTGTTGTCTTAGTGTTGACTGGAGATAAAGAACAGTCTCAAAAACCCAAATATCCCCTTTCATTGCTGTCATTAAAGGAAAGATGAAAGGTTTCACACATTCAATACAATCCAGTTGGTTTGGTGAAGTACTTTCCACATGCCCTGTTGACCTGGTGGGACATATTATGTGCTGGTGAAAATGAGCAAAATATCCTTGAAGTTAACAAACAGGAGGCCACATACAGATCACAGAAATGGGTCCTTTGCATTTTCCCTTAAAATGCAAAAAACCCCATCTCCTTGCACAAGTCATGACGCACCAGAAATGTCCAGTATATACCCATAAGCACATTATGAAAACAGCATTACATTCATAGTAGGTACAGGAATTGATCACAAAAGGAAGGGATTTACTCTTGTACATACAGGTAGGCATTGCAGAAAGCACATCTGTTGCTGTATACTTCGCCGTCAGAGCCACAGTGGGGCACATATTCCAGGGTGCAGGCAGGAGACACTTCTTCGAAGCCCTTGCAATGCTCCTGCACACAGAAGACAGACATGAGTCTCTCTTCCTGAGAGCAAACTGTGGCCCCCAGCATAAAGAATGACACTCCACTGAGAAACGAAACTGTCTGTAACATCATAGCAACCAACTCAAAGTTTCCTCCTGGTGGCAGATGTGATCTTGTATTATTTCTGCTCACTGCCTCATCTTTTCCTGCACTGTTACAGAGCAATGGGATGGACATTGGCTGTTTTATGAGCAGTGTGAAATTTCCAAGGGATCTCAGGTCTGCATACCACCGTTCCCCCAGTTTGTATCCCAGGGCAGAGAACAGTACCCCGTGACTGTAACAGACACTGGACCTTCACTCTTTGTTCCCATCCTTTCCCACTCACTTTTGTAATATCTTCTTCACAGCGTCCATTCTTTCTTTTGCCAAGACTGGTCCCATGCTCCCTGGAGAAAGGAGAGACAGTCATTAGCCGCAATCTTCCCCATCACAACCACAGTGCAAGAACAAACCTGACTCCCATGTAGTGTACAGGAAATTTCCCGATGAACTAGCTTAGCATTGCCTGCACAGCACCAACAAGAACATGCCCATATGGACCAGACCCATGTCTTTTAGAATATCGCTCTCCCCAGTTGATGCATCCCCCTTTGCGGGGTGCTGGGGTCAAATGCGCATGTCCAGCACCAACCAGGACAAGTGGGAAAACTGAGGAAGACAGACAGGACCCATCCAGTACAGGGTTTCAGAGAGAGTCCTTGTGCATTACTTGGCATTCACAGATTCAACCACCACCATCACAAATTCCCTGGAGAAGGGTGAGTACTTACAGGTTGTGCGCACACAGCGTACACTCACTGGCGTAAGTGACACCATTGGTACCGCAGACAGGATCGTAGATCATTGTGCAGGCCATCAGCTGTCTGCCATCCTCCATCGTGGAAGCTGGGTACTGGCTGCAGTTGAGCTGGGGAACAATGACAGCAAAAGCTCCGGCACAGGGTCTGCTCTGTGCAAGGGCCCCAGGCACAACCCTCCTGCCTATGCCTCTGCCTTTTAGGATCTGACATAGGACAAATTATGGTTATATATTAACTCATTCTTCATGGAAAAGTAGCAATTTCCTTTCATAGCCTTATACTGGAGAAGTCTTGAAGGTAGACATTACTCATTCAGCTTTGCATTTATCATGATGCCCCTATACCTTACCGAACCTACCAGGATATTACAAAACGCAGATAAAAAATAATCTGCAAATCAAAATGGCATGATTTACGCACTTCCTGCAAGAGGGGCAGCTGTGACCAAGGTGTTTTTCATGGCCCACAAGAATAGAGGGGAGATGTGCTGACAGGCCTTTTGTTGCAACAGGAGAGCTCCAAGCGTTGAAATCTGCCGGCAGCACTGACAGCAGTTGAAGCTGATTTACACTGGTTGAAGAGCTGGCCTTGTGTTTTAGCACTCCCAGTTTCTCCAGTGTGAGCTCTTCCTCCCTGATTTATGTATCTCACCCGGTCTGAGCACAGAGCGCGCTTGGGAAACAAAGGAATGACATTTCATAGTTTGTTTGTATAGAAATGAAATATCTGACTCGGGATGTTGACTCTTTCAAACACATGCTAATGAAATTGCTTTGTTCTTCTGTTCCCCAGGGAGTGTAAATAGTTTAGAGCTGGCCAAATATAGTTAATCTGGTATTTTTACAAGATTCATTGTTGGTATACATCAGATTACATTGCATTTACAAAAAAAACCAGAGAGGAGTTTGAATCCCCTGGTACATTAGGTATCAGCATTCCAAACACAGGCAATTTTCTAATCTATGCAGATCATCCTTTTGTAAAATGCAAGCACTCAGAAGGCACCAGGTACCCTGGGTCCTCTGTGTCCCCTTCCCTTATTGCCAAAATAGACTGCTAAGTTCCTGCAGCAGCTGCAATAGACTGCTGTAGGAAAGAGATTTCTTCTTGTGAAGCCTTAAATCACTTATGCCACCTGTCTCATAACTCATTCCTCACCTGTCCTCTCCTCTTTCTTTTCCTGACTGTGTGCAGGTAGTGCACAATGCTCCTGCTGCCAGGAGGGCGATATTCACCCGCAGAAGGAAGGACAGCACAATCGAGGCTACACCAAAACCAACCCGTGTTTATTCAAGTCAGGCAATCAGCACCAGCTTGAGCTCACGTTTTTCTTTAGGTTTCACTTACTTGGGGAACTCCCTCTATGCACTTTCCATCATGCTTCTTGGCAACATTGGTTCCAAATTCGCTGGAAGAGAAAACAGAGTTAAAAATGCTCAATAAGTAACTCTGTTAAGCAACTGGGGGGAGACCTGCAGGGCTTACATGTTATGGGCGCACAGCACACAGTCATTGCTGTAGGTGACACCGTCTGTCCCACAGATTTCGCGCAGGACAAAGGGGCAGGCGGAGCTGGCTTCGCCGCTTTGGGTGTTGCTCAGGTATGTGCTGCAGTCAAGCTGGGGAGATAAAATAACAACGCTGGGTCAGCTGCTGGGAGATGGAAGAGTGCCTCATCTGCAGCCTGCCCACTCTGATCCTCCAGATTTTAAAGGCTTCTGCCAGAGGAAAATTAAAGTTTTTTAAAGTTTAGTCTTCCATTAGAAACAAATTAAGTAGTTGTAGTTGGGTTTGGTATTGTCTGCTAACAGAGGGAAGAAAGGAACAGCTGGACAAAAGGATGATTTTCCTGGACTAGTATGTACACAAGTTTTGAAACAAGCGTTTAACCCAAGGAATCTGATTTAAAGTATTTTACATTAAGTCCAGCTGGACATGGTTAACTAAATCTGAGATTTTTTTTCAGCTTTTTCAAAACAGCAGCAAGAACTGTTTCACTAGCTCCCGTTACAAAAATTTTCACCATATATAAAATCTAACGCTTTAAATATTTGAGGATAAAAAGACAAGCACCTATTACAAGTCAGTCTATAGTAGCTAAGCATCACTGACACTCCACTGTCATTTTGCACAGTTTCCCCCATGCAGTGTCTCTTATTATCCATATTTCCCACATGGTCCAAGAGCAAATTAAAGCAAAGAAAGCATTTTAACAGTGTGTCTTTACTATAGAAAATATATTGCAGTCCCTCAGGACGCATGAAGTTATTTTCGGTGCTTTAGAGCTGCTCTGCATAAGCAGAATAAATGCCTTGAGATATTATCAGCACATATTGTTACGGTGCAGGATAATAAAGCTATTTTTGTATGCATATCTGGGACCAGATTTTTCCTGGCCGACCAGAGCGTGAGGATTTTTTTAACCTGCCTGTCTAGTGCAATGGAAATCCTAGCACTGAGTGAATACATGGATATCTAACACAGCCTTCTGCCTTCCTCTCCAACTGTGCTAAAATGGGTTGCATGGTTCCTAGGCTGCCTCTGATGATTTCTGTTCAGAGATCTGCCGTACTGGGACATTTTGTTTCTGAAGTCCTGGGCTGTTCCCATTCTCTCTTGCCCTCGTGTACAGTGGCTGCTGCCAATGTGCTGTGAGCGACTAGGAAGAACCACAGCACTGACATGAGCCTCGTGCATCACCCCTCGGTGTACCCGGGAGCATGGCTGGTGGCTGAGCCCAGCCAGGCTCTTCCTGCAGGCTGGAGAGAGAGCAGGAGATGGTGCTTATTTTACAGCTAGTTACACTTACGGGAACACTTTTCTCATGGCATCTTCCCACGTGCTTTTTCTTAACGTCAGTCCCATGTTCTCTGAAAGGGAGAGGTTGGCATTAGCGTGCTCATTGGCCAAGCCCTGTGACACCCAAGTGTCATAGAAAGCAAATGCAACTCATAGTCAATATATATCATACAGGCATCCAATTGCCTAATGAACCAGCTTCTCCTAGTCATCAGCAAGCGTAACCCCAAGCAGTAACAGACCATCAGGTCTCTTCACTGCGTGCTATGCAGCAGCCCCATCCACTCTTCCCTCTGCCCAAACACCACAGCCCAGAGCATGCTCAGACAGAGCTGGTTCTCCCACAGCTCCTCTGAGGGGCACAAACAGAGCATCAGGGAACAAAATCAAGGTGACAGGGGCTTCAGGAGATTGAAAGAGAAACAGAGAGACATACAGATATGTTGGTATCAAAAGAAAAGCCATCTGGAGAACTAACCATGGCTAGTCACTCCAAAAGAGAGTCCTATGTGCTGTGACTTACAGGTTATGGGCACAGATGCCACATTCATTTTCGTAAGTAAATCCATCTGTGCCACAGACTGGGAGCAGGATCCTTGGACAGGGTATCCGGGCTTTACCATCCTTAATCACTCTTGATGGGTATTGACTGCAATCAATCTACAAAAAGCAGGGAAAGTCAAACCTGGGGAAGTCCTCATGCTCTGAGAAAACCCCAACGTAACCTCCTCCTGCCTTGTCTTTTATGCTGGGATGCTGAGACAACACTAGTGCTACATTTCAGTTCTCTCAAAATCAGGCTGAGTCAGTTCTGCATGAATCCTCTCATGCACAGAGGGGACTGCACAGCACCACATAGTTTGTGAGAAGTCAATTAACTAGGGTAAGTAGCTCGGTCAATTCCAAATGCAAGATACACCAGAAAAACAAAAAGGAGAAAAACATAGTCCCCTTTTCATTCTGCAGTATAGATATAAACAAAATACCAAAACAGTGGATGAATTTGGACCTTGTTGACCATGCATTTGAAGAGCATCCTCAAAGGAAGATCTAAGCTCAAACTGCCCAACTTCCACGTTTGTGTGTTGGCATATCCTAGACCCAGCCCTGCAGCTTCTTCACTGATACACTCAGATCAACACTTCAGTTGTGCTCCATATACCAGAACATACCCAGCTGCAAAGGTTGGTGTAGGTATGAATTGGTGACATAAAGCCTGTGCCTAGCCCCCCTGCAACCCAGCTGCCAGGGTTGTGTGGGCAAGGAGGGCCCAGAGGACACCTGCCTCAGGACAGAGGGGATTTGTAGGCATCCTCAATACACGGGGCTGACAAGACTTAATAAACACGGGGAGAAAGCCAGGCTTCAGCCCAGCTCACTTTCAGAGTAGATGTAGCCTCAGGGAACCTTTCAGTTGATACAGCTGAGAGAAGGAATATGCCTCAGATCGAATACTTGCCTCAGAAGTCTCCTGTCTGCATTTTCCATCATGCTTTTTGCCAACATGGGTCCTGTGTTTTCTGGAAGAGGGAAGCAATAAAGTTGAGGAACTAAATGTGTTACCTCTTGGTCACAGTCACGTGCAAAGTGAAGCAAACCATGGCTTCAGACTCTATAAGAGTGTATCAGAATAGCTACATTACTTCACTTATTAACAAGCTCATCACATCTTCTCACAACATGCAATTTAAAGCAATATTCTGACTTATTCCTCTGCTGCCCAGCCCACAGAATAATCCAAGGAACTGCCATGTGACTCTTCAAAATTTCCCCTCATGAGCACAAAGAGAGTATCAGAAGGAAACTCAAGGTAAATCCAAAACCAAATCCGTTTCTAAGAGACTTGAAGAAATAAGCATAAGCAGAAATGCAGAAGGATGGTTTTCAGGACTGCAAAGCACTGCTAGCTACTGAGGAGTGCACTACGTATGGCACTTACCCATTGTGGGCACAGATCCCACATTCGTTATCATATGTAATGCCATCTGTGCCGCAGACTGGACTCAGGATCCTTGGACAGGATACTAATACTTTGCCATCTTCAGTGGCCGCTGTTGGGTAATTACTGCAGTCAACCTGTCAAAACAAGGAGAATTATCTCTGGTGGAGCCCTTGCTATGGGAGAAAAGTTGATGCAAAACCTTTTCATTCTGTATCCCAGCCTCCATGGTTTCTGCAACAGGACAAAGCCCTGATACACTGAAGCTAAATCTTCAGTCAGAAATGAGCTTTCTGAATATTATCCTAGTTCTCTAGGAGTCAAGAAGGAGGACTATCTTGGAGAAGAGATCCTTCAGGCAGAAGAACATGTACAAGAGTACATGTACAAGAGATTTTGGGCCCATTCTCATAAAAAAGAACACTGTCTTGAATTCAGTTTTCACCAAAAAACTAACTGTTTTGGTTTGTGTTGGTTTTCTCCCCACTTCTCGAGCTCTATGGTGACTTATTCCTTCAGATTCCCTGTAGTTAAGCACAGGGTTTGAAAGGATAGAGAAAAAATGTTTCTCTCTCAGTTGAAGAATGGACTTTCTACATCCCATAATTTTGAAGCTGAAATATAGAAGCTTCTCTTCCTGCGGCACCAGGGTGTTAGCCCTGTACAAATATACAATAAGCTAGATAAGTGTGTATGTTTAGTGCTCTTATGAGTCCCACTGTCTCTGTGAAAGCAACCAGCATGGGAGTTTTGAATCCCTGTTGCAAAAGGTAGAAATGCTTGTGATCTCCAGAGAGAAAACTGCCAACCTGCACAGCAAGTAAAATCTTGGGCGTCCCCTTTCCCTGGGCACAAAAGCCAGCTTTGCACGTGGGGAAGTGAATTGTGCAGCACTGGTTCACTGCAGCTTTTCGTTTCCCAGCTATCTCCTTTCTCCTTTGTCAGTTTGGTGTGATGTGCATGGAGTGACTCTCTTTGGGGCATGGAGGATGGAAAATCCACCCTCACTGTGCAGAAAAGCAGCGCATGGACTGGGACCCTCCTAAGCCTTGTCATATGGTCCTGTTGCAGTTTCCTAGGGAAATCTCTGGGGTTCTCAGGATTCTATTTACAGCCCTAAGAGATGGATTGACTTCTACTGCACTTACAGGGACAACCTTCTGCTTGCATTCTCCATCATGCATTTTGCTAATGTTGGCGTGATGTTCTCTGAAAGAAAGAGATGTTTGGTTAGGAAGCTTTGAGAAGAACTTTTCCCATCACACTCTAGGCACTGGGACAAGAAAGCAAGGTCCCACCCGCACAGTGGGACACTACAACTGCTTGGCTTATCTGAATGCATCCCGCAGACAGTAACAGCAAATGCAGGGTATTTCCATGGTAATTAGGTGTTAGGAGTAATTAGGTGTTACTCATAACACTTTGATCTGTTCATGGCTCTGCTCTGGGTTGTCCTTTGATTCTTTTGTGATTCCCCTCATGATCACAGACAGAAAATGGGGAATAAAACTCAAGTTGACTGGAGAATTTTAAGCAGTCAGTTCCAAAGAGACCTACAGAGTCAACTGCCTTCAGACTGGTGTTTTACAGAGGTGCTTCCGAGAGCCTTAAGTATTGCTAATTATCCAGAAGGATGTTCTATGCACAAGACTTACGCATTATAGGCACAGATCCCACATTCATTGTCGTAAGTGAGGGTATCTGAGCCACAGACTGGTTCCAGTATCCTTGGGCATGCTACCATGATGTGATCACCTGTAACAGTTTTTTGGTACTTGCTGCAATCGATCTGTAAAAAATAGCAGGAATAGAGGAAACAAACAAAAAAAAACCCCACTTTTTTGATATAAAGCTATAACACTCCCACATAGTCTGCTTACTCTCCCTCAGCCTTTGGGGACAAAGCAGAATCAAACTAATTCCACTATCAAAAGTGGAAGCCCGAGTCAGTTCTGTGGGAATTCTCTCCTGCTGAAAAATAAAAGGAGGCATAGCAAGGACTGTGATTTGGATTTTGTGAGGTCCTCCATAAGATCCTGCTGGAGCTATCCAGGTGGTGAGATCCAACCTTCAGCCAGCACATTTTCATTTTATTCCCAATTACAGAGGTTAGAAATCTGAATTAGAAAAGCGCAGAGACATGGTACCAGACAGCCCATGAAAACCTTCTCAGCTTTGGTTATCATCAGATTTTAACTTCCCTTGGGCTGTGCAGACCAGCTGTGCATGTTCCGTTTTCCTCCTGTGTAGCGTTTGAACTGTCCCCTTTTAAAGTCTTCTGTGGACTTTGTCTTACCACAATAGGTTGCAGCTCGCATTCTCCATCATGTGCCTTTTCCACACTGGTCCTGTGTCTCCTGGAAGAAAGCAGACCTATGTCAGGGACCACAGGGAGCAGCATCACCTTGAGCCTGGCAGTGTCGGCACCCAGCTGACACCTCATATGCTCCTCTGCCTGGTCCATCTTTGCGGGGACAAAGCTGACACCCTTACCTGGAGTCCCTTGCCTGCAGCTTCTGCTGGGTTTCCAGCAATACTCACTTGTTGTGGAGGCAGATTCCACACTCGTTGCTGTACGTGGTGCCGTCGGTGCCACAGACTGGCTCCAAGTTCCTCGGGCAAGCTACCCAGGATGTCCCATCCTTGCCAATGCCGCTGGAATATTGGCTGCAATCAACCTGTGAAAGCAGCACAGAATCAGCCCTAACGTCACAGAAAGAAACCCCCACGCAGCCTCCAGCCACCACAGCGCCTGCAGCTCCTGCCGAGAGGTAAATTAGAGGTATTAGTTTGAATCTGCTCAGGCAGGCAGGAGGAGGGAATCCTCTACAGAAGTTTCTGATCATGCTTTCCTGCCAGGGGTTGGGGGAGGCAGGGCACAGAGGAAGGAATGCTGTGGGTGAAACAGTGCCTAATGAAGGCAGATAGTAATTGGGAGCCTGGCTGTACACCGGAGCCCCTCAGCTCACAATCTGATCGTTTCCAATCACACTGCAGTCTCCGGTGAGTTCCAGGCATCTCGCAACTGCGTGGGAAGAACCTGCAGACAAACCCATCACATATCCCCTGCTGTTTTCCTCTCTATGATATACGTACAGAAAACCTATACAAAGAACACAGTTCTGTGGGTCTTACTGTACAGAAAAAGTTATCAGAATCACAGTCTTTGATACATAGTATATCATCTTAAGAGAGCATTCCTCATGAGGAGGTAACCTATTGCCTTTGGCTTGGGGTAACTCAATTGTGTCTAAGAGGATTATAGGATTGTATCATTACTTATCACTTTCTTCATTTTATTTAATGAACTGAAAATAGTGTCAAAAAATGGAGGATGTTTTACTTCCTCATGAAATTAGCAGTATCATTTGATCATGCACTGGCAAATACTATTTGAAGAGCCAAGCTTTCATTTGATTCAATTCACTTGCTCATCAGGTAATTTCATACTGTTTCTACTTTACCAGAAACCTGGAATAGAACAGAATAAATAGATCTGTAGCTCACCTCAATTCCAAAGGCAATACCTTGGGGGGAAAAAAAAGAAAAAAAAAATCAAATTATTGATGTGCAGAAATGCTGTATGTAAATCTTTTCATGAAACTGTTTAATTCAGTAACTGTTGTTCACTAGTTTATTTGGTTTAGGAAAACATGGAGTTTTACATTACGCCAGTAAATGATCATAAGATGCATTAAAAGTTACTAAATAAAGTTTAATTGCACTTTTGAGGGGAAATAGGAACAGGTGAGAGCACGCATATTAATCCCTCACTAAGATGTTACACAGAAGCGATACAGGTACTTTCAGTTCTGTACTCCACCTCTTCTAAGGGACTTTATATTTGACTCTCTAAAGCTTGGACATGCGTGTTTAATGGGACTGTCATCCACTGGCACTGTCCATCTCCAGTTACCAGGAACAGCACAGCAAACTTACAGATCGATCCTAGAGGTTAAAGTTTGCACTTAAATTGCTCATATGGACAGCAATGCCATTTCTAGCAGTTCTACCTTGCCCTTACACACAGTACTCCCACATGCAAGCTGCTGCCCTGCGCTAGGACTGCTCCTTCAGCAATTTGCTCCTAGAAACCAAGATGACAACAGTCACCTGTGTGAGGTTTGCTGAAACCTCAGTCTTGAAGTAGAATTTTTTTGCTACACTCTCTCAGGAAAAGTATTTCTTCATGGAATAAGGCTCTCTTTCACGTTACAAGACAGAAATATTTTACTGAAATTAAAATTCATCTCCAATTCATCTAGAACAACCTCTGCAATGTCCCAAGAAATACTCACCCAAGCAGGACCAAAGGGCCAGAGCCGCCTTCACGACAACCCCCGTTATCTTCATGGCAGACAGAGCTACTGCTCCAGCGCTGCCCGCTAGCTCTCTGTGCGGGAGACAAAGATTGCCGGTCGGAGCAGGAATATATAGCACACCACGGTATCAAGTGGTCCCACCTTGTCAGATAATGCCCTGAGTCTGTAATCAACATGCAAACCCAAAAATATATTTACCCAGATCTAGATTCCTAGCTAATGATTGACATGGGCGTGTATGACAGCAAAGGGCCTTTTGTGTAGCTCGAGGGGAGTGGGGAGCGTGCCAGGACCCCTCTCCTCCCGGACGGATCTGCCCTAGCCCCGGGCTGCCCCTTGCACAGTTGCGACACGTTGTAGGCTCACATCTACCCTGCGACTGGCTCAATGCAATTAGATCATTCTCCTCCTCTATAGTTTTCAACTGAGCTGACAGCAGAAACCCTCGTTATTTAACCTCAGAGCATGATTTTGTACTTTTCACCGCTGTATTTCATCCCAGTTTGAGCCCAGGCAATTTCAGCCCAGAAGGTCACCCTGTGCTGTGCAGGAAAAATCCAGCTTTTCCCCTGTTTTAAAAAACTCAGCAGTGCTCTGCTCCACGTACCAACTTTTTCTGTACTACAACAAGAAGCAAAAATATTACATTTGGTCCTAAAATATATCTTTTTGGCTGTTCACTGATAACTCCCATGGTACCCTCTGCTCATCTGCTACCACCTTCCCCGTGGCCAGTTCCTGACCCACTGCACCAAGCCTAAGTGACACCATCCCACAGGGCAGCAAGCCAAATGTTTCTGATGTCTGCATAGACTAGATGTACTCTATATCCTTTATCTAGGAAGTCAGCCAACTTTGCAAAGATTGATATTAGCCCACGCATGTTTTCCTTCCTGAAAATTCACTGTGTACATTATCCCTTTATGCTTTATATCTTTAGTTTTCGTCAAATTCCTCCTGAAGGTTTGCCCACTATTAAGGTAACAGAACTTAGATTGGTCCTGAATGCTTTTTTTGTCCTTTACTTAAGGAGATTTTTGGCAATTCTTTGGATTGGTCTCAATCCCAGTCTTCTTAATTGGGATCTTAAATTCTCCAAATTTCTCACTAACTTTTAATCTTTCAGATTCTGTACTTGGTAATCAAAATCCTTACTTGCAGATCTATTTTTGACATAATTTAAATAGAGTGAGCTCATGTTGAATCATCCTAGTTTTATTTTCTAAGAGAAGGACATCTCCAACATCTTTCTCACTTGAAAAGCAAATCTACAACTCCACAATTTTGGGGATTACCTAATGGAAAATTCTATTTGCTTTCATATCCAGGAGCTCTGCTAATATTAGCAGTTTGCAGTGTGCATCTGCAAAGCTGAAGCCCCTCCAAATGCCAGCATTTCCAGCTTCATTAATCTCTAGTGACATTTGAGAGATCTCTATTCATGTACCTTGATTTCATTCTTTCCCCCGATGTCTCCTGCCCTGTCCCGTATCACAGTTCCACCAAGTGTCAAGGACTCCAGACCTTTGGACTGATGCAGGCTTCAGCTACAAGGACCTCTGTTCATCCTGATTACAGTATCCATCTCTCAGGGCTTATTCCAGCCCAGGCAATCATCAATTAATGCTTCCTGGCAGAGGAAAATGTATCTTGACAACTTAATTGCCAGACTCTGTAAAAGCTGTCATGGTCAAGCAAATTCCTGCCAGTGTCCACAGAGATAACACCTAAACCTTACAGGAAAGCAGATATTATTTGCAAACCAAATCTGCAGTTAAAATAGATTGACACAGCACATTCTGTCAAGATCACAGCAATTCTCTTCCAGCTAAGTTAATTTTGGGGAAGAGTTTACAATAGGAGACAGATTAAAGGACCAGAACAGCAAACACCTGTCAGGGATCTAGAAAAGAAATCAGGAACTAGAAAAAAATCACCGCAGCTATGGCACGTCTGCTGTCCCCCACATCAGCCAAGGGACATAGTGCTGCGACCCTCTGGGTGAGCTGTTTGCTTCACAGAGAGCACTTCCACAGAGCTTTTTCCACCAGCTGTTTGTCCATCAGAACCAGAGCAGAAGGTGCAGCACATCCCAACCACGCTGGACAGGGAGCTGCAGGAACTTTGGTTGTCCCCATATGTTTATACCCTTGTGTTTGTGCAGCCCCCACTTGCAGTCACACTGTGTCGATGTCTACCTGCTTATTTTCCCTTCACCAAACACGCCAGGAGAGGCAGGCTGTGCAAAGCCCGGCCGGCTGAGCAGCTCTGGACACGAGCACTCTGCTCCTTTCTTCTGCTGCCTCTCCAGGTTACCTCTAGTCCCAGCTGTGAATTCTCTGTCACCATTCCTGCAGAATTTCGCTGACATGGGCCAAGAAAGGAAGCAACTCCTCTGAAGCCAGAAGGCAGTAAAGCCAACTCACCTTTTTTCAGGAACAGATGCAGAAATTGCCCATGTTTCCCATCCACAAACTAAGTGTTCGGTTGTTACTATACACAACGTTAAACTGTTTCTTTTGGGATCTTCAACACCAAGGAGTTAGATTTGTAATTTGTACATAGCTGCATTTCCATCTCCCTATTTTCAGTGAACAATTTGAGTGGGGCTGCTCATACCCTTGTGCAGGGAAAGCTTTTAAAGTTCTGGTGGTGTAGTCCCAGCAGGAGGGCTGGGCAGCAAGAGGCTCCTGCAGCAGCCTGGAGCTGGGACATCCCAAGGAAATGACCTGGACAAGAGCTCCCTGCAGCAAGGAGACCCTTGCAGGAAAGGACAGATGTGCTAACAGATGCCAAACAGGAGCCCTAAAGAGAGAAAAGAGAAAAGTCTTTTATCCCCCAGGATAAAAGCAGATGGGCCACAGAGTCATGATAATCAAGGCAAATTATTCTGAACCCCCTCAGGTGCCCATACACAGCAGTCCCTGGGTGGGACTGTCACAGGGACACAGGGAGAGCTGGAAAAGAGAGCTCTGCAGCAGACCCAGAGGGGCTTCACTGCACAAGCAGCATCAGGCTTTCCACATCACGACTTGTTCAGTTCTTGAAGCAGCAAATGCTCCTGAACTGCAGGATTTCTGGCACTGTCTACAGAAGCAGATTGGAAGAGGTCCCCTGGCCAGGGCACACCACACTGCCGTGCGTGGGCTCTGCCTCTGTGGTGGCTGTGAGAGCAGCTGGGAGATGGTGGGCAGAGCTACCGGGCTCCAAAAGGACAGCCCGCAGCAGGTTGAGAAACACCATGGCGAGGTCAAGGTCTGCTGAGGCATCTGCCAGAGTCAACAGTCCTCACTACGCACAACACTCCTCACTATAGCGTTTGCAAGCCCTGAAGAACTGCATAAGTACCTGACACCTTGTATGAGAGAAAAAAAAAAAAAAGCAAGAAACTCAAGGCCCCCGCAGAGAGTAGTTTAGCTCCAAACCCATCAGCGCTGAGAGGCCTGGAGAGCAAAGCTGCCCATCCGTAACACCAGTTCTGCAAAACCTCAGAAAGTGCTGTGAACCACACGGGGTCTGTGGATCTTGGCAAAAGAGGCACCCTTAATAAAGCGTAACTTGCAGCAAACTGAAGACTCCCCAGAGCGCTGGCACCTTTCCATCTTCCCAGAGGACTGTTTTGGCATCATTTCTGTGTTAGAGGGCAACACAAAGGTTAACCAAGAGCAAGTATAAAATAAAGGGCAATAAATCCCCAATACCTATTCAGCCTTTGCCTCCTTCTCCCCAGGAGCCTCATGGAAATAATGTGTGGCATCGCTCACACAGAGTCCCACTGGAGCGCCACCGCACACAGCACTGCTCAGGATGGGCATCATTGTCAAGCCCTTGGAGGGACCTGCAAAAGGGGGCTGAAAGCAAGAAAGAAGGGACCGGGCAGGCTGCCGAGAGCAGAAAGGAGTCAGCATTGCTACCTCTGGTGCAACAGCACAGGCAGTTTTAGCAAGTCACTGTCCTGTGCCTTCTCAGCAGACAGGTTTGGAATTTGATTAACAATCCCTTATCGCCAGCTGCGATTTTTGCAGATGGTAATTTCTGCTGGCAGCAGGAGAATCTAGAAGGTGCTCAAATACTGACAGAAGAGGCTACTAGGGCACCGTACTCATCAGTTTATTGCTTTTAGAGCACAGTTAGGGCAGGTTTTACAGGTGATTATTTTAAAACTTAAGTACTCGAAATCACTACAAATTATAATAGCTTTCAAGTGCACTGATTTTCATTTGCAAGAATTTATTTTAAGCCACAAATTGTGCACTGCTTTTATGAAATCATGTAGATGTCCCTGCCCATGATTTTAGCTGGAATCGGTAAGCACACATCATCAGAGAACATTTTTACTGCCTGATATTCATCATCCTCAGGCTGCATAAATAACATTCAAGAATTTACTTGTTTCATCACAGTTCAAAGGCAGACAAATTTTGCATTCCCCAAAACAGCTAACCAGGACCAAACTGAGGACTTTCACCCTGCATGACTGTACTTTGTGAGGGTATTTTCCACCTAGAAATAGGCAGTAATAATTTATTTCTAAATCATAGTGTTTTCTCACATTAAGAAGCAGCATACAAAACATTAACAACTAGTTATATCAGAATATGCTGATAATAAAATCAGATTTTATTATTATAAGCAGAAATAAAATGTGATGCTCACATAAGCATTCCAAGAGTTTAAAATCAATTCTCATTAACTGCAGTAGAAAAGGATTTGACAACTTAATAAAAAAAAAAAAAAAACAAACTGTCTTGGTGGGAGTGAAATTGATATTAGGTAAAAATCCTGTCAAAATCTGAAAGAAAGTCACTGCAGCCTTATCTGCAACAGAAAGTTTACAGATCAGGTCACAGCTAAAATGGACTCAAACACTGTGTGCGTTCATTCAAGGTCTTCTGGAAATGCCCTGCAATAAAGTTTATACAAATAAAGAATGTATTTGCTTTAAGTAACAGCTATAAGAAAAAGTACATGCACACTGCCAACAGATTTCTGTTAACCCACCATCACAGTCTCCTGCCCCCTGCCTTCCACCCCACTTTCCGATGCGTTGCCCCCAACAAGCCAGGGGAGCCTTCAGCTTG